TGAACGAAGACAGACGTCTCACGTGGTAACATTTTTTTCGTGTGAATTTTGAATAGAATCTTTATCTCTGTTGTCACAATTTTCATAGTTTTTGTCTAGGTATAGCTTCCTTTCATAGTTTTTGATTTTTCATTCACGCTCGTGTTCGCGATTATTAATTTAGATATATTATTAATATAGATTTGCAAATTTCACTGGATCGTATTTGCGGAAGAGTCGCGAGCGAATTTCGCAGAAATATTGCGGAGTTGTTATCCGCAAAAGCATTGCGGAATTGTCTTCGCAATAGTATTGCGGAGCTGTTATCCGCAAAAATATTTCGGAATTGTCTTCGTAAAAGTATTGCGGAGTTGTTATCCGCAAAAACATTGCGGAATTGTCTTCGCAAAAGTATTGTGGAGCTGTTATCCGCAAATATATTGTGGAGCTGTATTGCAGTCTACTACGCTGCACCATCGAAATGTTACATTAGGAGTATTCCGTGTCGCACGTGAGAATTTCGCACAGATTACTTCGCGCACGCGTCGAAAGATTTCGTGTTGTGTGTTCCCTTCGCTCGCTGATTTCATTTTCTTCGTTTTCATTTTAAGCGAGTCGCGCGTGTATCAAAATGATACACTATAACTCGATTGGACCGTTACTGAATTCATTACACATACTCGTCGTTTATCTGAAAGGACGACATTTCCTCGAAGACGCAGTTCGCGATATTTTATACGCAATTTGCAACTCGGAGTGTATGCCTCAAGACAGACATTTTTCGTGAAACCTCCGTTAGCTTACCGCGATCGGGAGTGAATTAGAGGCGACGTGGGACGCGAGGACCATTGCAGTGTTAGATGCAGCGACAGGATGGTTGGTGAACCCTGGACACCGTGGGACGACGCGCAATGGTGAGCGCTCAATTTAGACGCTCATATAGTAGATACAAAGCGTCACTTTACGTAGATTGCATGCACGTAGACGTAAATCGCATTGGGTCCGACGGGAAGTAAAGTAAGAATTGGAATTTGCAATTCGCCGGAGTTACTAAGAATGATCCAACCAAAGAATTTAGCTCTGAGACTTTCGCAATAGTTCAACGAGCAATAGTTCAAGCATTTCCATTTCTTTAACAGTACTGACTAGCTTAATTCTTAGAAAAATATGCAAAAAGTCGCGACTAGTAAAAAATAAAAAAAAAACTGTTTCTTAATTCATTTCAAGCATCTATAAGATTAAATTATTTTGTTTGGATTAAAAAGATGTAAATAGAGTATCCATTGATAATAGCTTATAATTTTTTTTGATTGGATCATTCTTGCATAACAATGGCCAATTGAAATTTCGACTCGGCAGGCTTCCTTCTCGTCGGATTGTTTCTTGATAATACATTAAACTGATATATTTCAACATGTCATATTTATATGCTCTGTATGTGTTATATATGCTTTTTTATGCTCTATATATGTTTTATACATACCCTATATATTTTCTATATATACTATTTGATTAATATATTTTACAACTTGTTATGTCGATATTGTATATACGACATACTATCTCTTCTGAGATTTTTTCTTATGCATACGCGTTTATTGTTGACAAGACGACAAATTAAATTTCGATAAATTAAAAACAACAAAGTAAATTATTGAGCCGAGATTCAAACCAAAATGTTTCGATTTTCCCCTAAATTAAGTCGAGATTCGAACCGACGTGTTTTGAGGATGCGCTAAATTATTAAACCGAGTCAGTTAAGTTCGGGATAATTTTTTAGTTTCCTAAAGAAATTTTCGCGCTTACAAAGGTGTATTTTCGAAAATGACGTGACATATTTCGCTCTGCACCGTCTTTTGGATGACAATGTGCCTTAATGTTATTCTACTCTCTCAGTAACACGCCCAGAATCTTAAAAATAATTTCCCATTATCCCAAAATCGCGCTCATAACGCTAGATCCATCGTAGCAGTATGGTCGAGTTTTTTAATTCATTGATGGATCCATCGCATGATGCGCAAATGCAATGTTTCGCTGTATTTACGCATCATGCAATGGATCCATCGATGAATTAAAAAACGCCTTATATTCGGATTCTTGCGCATGCGCAGAAATACCTATCCTGCGCATGGGTCGAAAGTCGGTCATGTTACTGCAGGTTAGGTCATGTAGTGTTAGCATGTAGAGTACTTTCTGGGATAGTTTTTTAGAGTTTTAAAATAACATTCGCGGTTGAAAAGGTGTATTTTCGAAGTTGACGTCAGTAAGTATGCTTACTTCGTTTTGCATCGTCTCCTAAATGATAATGGGTGCTTTCTATATAATAACACAAATCGACATAAGCATCATTCTGTCTTTGTTCCATATTCAATGAATAATAAAGATAGGAAGATGCTTGTGTCGATTTGTGTTATTAAGTGGAAAGCACCTAATATGTGTTTGTATCACTTCATATATATAAATCGCTCTACGTTATCGATGCTTAGTAAGTTCGTCGTTCACTGCGCCATCCCCTTAAAATGTCGAGTACTAAGATCTTTCTCCTCCCAAATAGACATATTTCGGTATACTATCTATTTAATGACTAGCAAAAATACGTTTTTATACAATAAGTATTTTATCAGTACATAAAAAGAGTTATTTGATGCCATTACTGCTTATTTTGTCGGGAAAAGATCGTGATTAATCTGGAATTATTTATATTTTATTACTTTCATTCATACTAATTTATTTTTATTTACTTATTTTAATTTTTAACTTATATGAGTTAGTATTAATTTTATATATTTATGTACTAATTTATTACTGTATATTAATTATATAGTAATAAGAATATAGTTAATAAATATTTTTATTAAAATTATGGCGTGATAAATAGGAATTTTTTAAAAGAAGCACGGAAGAAACAATATAGTTGGTCCACATATAAATCTAATTAAACCAAACAGATCCAATATCGAATTTATGTGTAGGTTAACTATAGTGGTTTTCCATGAGCATATTTGAAACACGTTATGCTGTTACAATAGTACTATAAAGTACATATTAAATGTTTGCATTCTATGTTCAGCACATTTATGTATACCTGAGTTATTTATGATTGAATTGCGCCCATTGATACTGCAGACAGGAAGATCTTTTTCAGTTTCTTTATTTCTGTGTAACAGGTTGAATGTGTAAGCAAACGTTGCTCGTTGACATTTTGATACGATTTTGTTTTATTATTCTTACTGAAAAGAAATCTTCACACAATGCCATTTATCTCACGAAGAGCTATATAGTGCACCATATGGTAAATCTAAACCAGTCAATCATCTGATTACTCGGCAAATATACGTGCTAATATTGTTAAACAATGTTATCTGTAGTGCATTGAGATCGATATTGCCATGGCAACTCTACACTAAAGAAAAAGAACTAAGTATACGCAAATTTTGTTGTATAAACTATAATCCAGTTATAACGAATAAAAATCGAATTAAAACAATAACCTGAAATAAGGATTTAAATTACAAAATTTGATCAATCGTAAAAAATTTATGAAACTAGAAGATAGTTGTGTATGATATAAATATTCTTTCAATTGGTTTAGTTGCACAACACAAATAATACATATTACATACACCATCTCTTGTTTAAAAAAAATCGGACGATAAATACGACCAATAATGTGCTTGGTCAATTTACGATTGTTTTATTGAACTTAATTACCATTTTGTTTTACACAAATAGGAGGCTTAAAAAAAGTTTGCTAAAAAAGAATCAAATTATTTAGTTTGCCATATACAATTAAGTGGATACCATTAAGTGGAGTTTATTTAAGAGACTGGAGATTGTCTGAAAATCATGCTTGTTTTTTCACAATTTTTTATGACAGACTGAATGAATATGCCAAAATGTTATTTTGATGTGTATTTATATAACATATAAAGAGAAGAAAAATATAATTTTGATGATCAATACACAATATAAGTGTGTAGTACATGCAGTTAAAATATATTTCTTTTCTAGTGAATCACTGACAAACTCATGAAAATATTTAATTTTGAAATATTAATTTTTTTTACTATAAAAGAACTGAACATTTTATAATATTCCATTAAGATATTTGCAATTTGTTAACTTTTACTCAATTTCTATTATAGTGGTTCACATGATAACGACAAGCTTACGGAAATTTTCTACTTAAAATTCAGCTTAACTGAACTACCGAGAGTCAAGATATTATTGCAAAATAACTATCTTGAAAAGAAAAATGAAATGTATTTTAATATGTACCATACACTTATATTTAATATTTGATCATTAAAATTATATTTTTCTTCTCTTTATATGTTATATAAATACACGTTTATATGTTATACAAAATAACACTTGCACATATTCATTTAGTTTGTTATAAAAAATTGTGAAAAAACAAGCACGATTTTTAGGCAATCTGACCCTCCAGTTCTCTTAATTCCAATTGTTTCGACTAACCCTCTTTTGTAGTGTGTATAGTAACTTTTGTTTTATTTTTTATTATTATACAATCTTGTATATAATTATGTTATCGTTGCTCGTTATTGTTATCGTTGCTCAATTTATGTTATTGCAATTATACGGAAATTCTATGTTCTGATTTTATCCTGTAAATTAGAACCAAAATCAATCCTTTTTTTTCGTTGGAGATTTAATAGAGCTTCGTCTTACAAAGGGGAACGGAAAAACAAGTCTCGGTGTTTTGGTTGCTTGATGATCTCGCGGTGTAGACAAGGCGATGCTACGATTTTACGAAGGAGAGTCCGCGATTGTGTATCCACGGTGGCAGTCGTAGAAACGAGACTTTGATTAAAGCGACCTCGTCGGGGATGCAAGGGGCGTCGGACGGTCTCTTATGAAGCGGGACGGAGAATTTCATGGTTCACGTCTTTCATTTATGCTAACGCGCGCGCCCGTAAACATGTTTCGAAATAAAATATTCCCTACTGTCGCGCGCGAAAAATGGGAGAAAAATAAAGGGGAGCACGAGTTCTACTTACAAACAGCACCACGTTGTAAATATGAAGGACGTATTTCAAGAAATTCACAGAGCAGCAGCCGTCATCCCTGGTCCTAAGTCTGGTAGAAGTACCGGGCAATCTCTCAGCGCTCTTGGCCATTTTCAGTCGATTGTTACCTGCGTGCGTTTACCGTCCGTGTTGTCACCTCGTCGCCGTTACTGTAAAACAGAAGTCAAAACGAAAGAAATATAAGAGAACTGCATTTACGTAGGGAGATGGATGAAAAAGTTGAGAGAGTCGTGAGAGAGTCGTGAGAGAATCTCCCTTTCGCCTCCTTCTCTCTCTTATTCATGTAGTTTATTCATGTTATACAGTGTATCCCACAACTTGCGACTTTAATTTTACCGAGAAGTTTTCGGAATAGATTTAATACTTCCTTCAAGAAAATGTCGAATCATCAATATTTTATAAAACACAAGTGATGAAAAAAAACTGGAATTTTCGTTATATACACACACACACACACACACACACACGCACGCACGCACGCACGCACGCACGCACGCACGCACGCACGCACGCACACGCGCACACGCGCACACACACACAGAGACAAATGACTTGGTGAATGACATTATACTCGTCTTATGAAAGTAATATGGTGAATTTATATACGATATCTGGTTCACATATCCAATATTCTGATTACGATGCCTCGACCCATATGGTAGTCAATACCGAGACATTTAGTTATAGGCATCTAGATAGTTTGATAATTCTCTCTAGACATGTGTTTCTATTGACGCAATAATTAATTGTTACTCGCTAGGACGTTTCCTTTTTCATATATACTAATTTGTAAAGACGTCGATGCTATACAAAAATGGACGCTGAAACCGTCAGATATTTGGAAGCATGGAATTTCTTAAAATATATCGATGAATTTAGAAGTATATACATGAAGATTATACAATAAGTATATGAAAATTATATATATAATATGATTAGATTTTAGGTTAGGTTTTATTATTTCAATTATCACACACACGCACACACAATTTTATGTTGTATCAGACGGTAAATGTATTTGGTAAATATATTTGGTAAATGTATTTAAGCATCACTAATGTATTTAAGCATCACTAATGTTACTTAGACAATGCGCTCACCAGATAGTTTGGTATCATTGACTAAATATCTTGTTATACGATTATTCACCATACCGTTTGGTAAATCTAAATAGAATTCTGGCTAGTATCATCAGACATTTCCCTCGGTGTATTTTTATACACAGAATGACCAGAGAAATCAATTTATATTAAAGAAATTATGATTCTATTAAAAAAATTAAAGTTAACAACTTTTCAAGATCAATCCAAAGTCAAATAGATATCCAGATCCAGACATCCAGATATCGCATATAAATTCACCATATTATTTTCATAAGACGAGTATAGTGTCATTCACCAAGCCATTTCTTTCAGTGTACTGATTTCTCTGATGTAAAATCGTAGAAAAGTCCAACATCAACAATAGCCGATTCAAAGAATTTGTCGAGCAGTCCTCGTATATTATATTCATAGTTCAATATATGTTATATTAAAAATTAAGAAATTGCTATAAATAATGACTTCCCTCGACATCAAGCAGAGAAAAAATCGTCTGTAAATTGTTCTTGGTAAAATTGAGGTCGCAGATCGCAGATGGTATCTCGTATATATTTGAATAATACAAAGTTATATATAAGTATACGCGCCTGGCGTATATTTATCGAAAACGATTACAGAGCATTAACGCGTTAACAACAAGGAAATTCTCGCCAAGTGGCAAGGAGAATTTTACGAGCGCCGCTGCGAAAGTGTTCGAATAACTAATCGACAAGTTTTCGACCGAGAAAGTAATCAACGAGCTTCAGTTTCGACGTGGAGTCCTTCATTGCTTGTTTATACTCGTAGCTAGGACATTAGACGAACTTGGAGCTCTTTCTCACCCCGGTCGACCCAGACGTAAACTTTGTTGGAGTAGTAATATCGCCGGAGTGAACGGTGTTTGTTGTCGTGGGTCAACAGCACAAGTACGGGTCGAATCGGTTTCTCTTCCCTTGCAATCGTTCCGTCTTCGAACAATTACCCGTTTTCCTTTTTGATGATCCTGGGAGAATTCATATTAATTCCCGCGCAACGTACTCTCTAACGACGCGGAGCTCGCAGCCGTTTAATCATCTGAATTTACATGTCGACATTCACCGACGGGCGAACTTTAACAAGAGTATAGCTTTCTTACGTCGGTAATTTCGTCCAGAGGCGCGTAATTATGCGCTCTTGAGAATGATAGAGAAAGAAAAGAAACATTAGGGAAAAGGAGAAGAAATACACTACAGAACAAACCGGGGTTAGATGACACACTGTTCAGAATTTCGAAGTTAGAACTTCTCAGACAACGAATTGTTGCGATTGACTGTACAGAAACTGATAGAGATTTTCCTCTACGCTTTTGTGCCTGCAACGATCCGGTAAATCGTATATTTTCTTCCGTAATAATAGAAAAAAATATATACACAGTCCTAGAACAACTTTCAAAGTTTTCGTGGAGGCACAATACGGAAGAGTCTTATACCGTTTTGTGATATTCGCGATAATTATCGAGGTATCAATTAAAAAAGATTTGTAAATAATCACGCATTTCTGGACCAAGAGCGTCGTACATTTTTATTACATATTAATATAGTGGAGGTTAAGAGCTTTTTTCGAAGCACTATAATAACACCTTTTTATGTTGGGTCTAACAAAAATTACAAGCTTCAAAGTTTGAATAACGTGGGTGTTAGTCATGACCAATGTACATCTAAAGACGGTTTTTTAATTTGAGAGTTCACAAGTAATACTATACAGCTATTACATAATCTGTCTTACACAATCCGTAATCAGGACGTTTGCTCTAGCACTCTTCTGTTTCTCTCTCTTTCTCTTTTTCTCTCTTCTTAAAGTATGTGACCTCAATTTTCATAAAAAATGAAATACGTGTAAATATATGCGCATTAATTTTCGTTTGGCCCAATGTAAAAATGTATTACTATGATGCTTCGGAAAGCTCTTGACCTCCAATATAATAATATATAATCAAAAATGTGCGACGCTCTTAGCCCAAAAATTGGCCTTATTGGCCTTCTTGCTTTGGAGACGCTCTAAAATGTACTTGGCGCTGTCTTTCTAAATAAGTTTTTAAAAAATAATATTACAGTTTTTTAACTGTAATATTATTCCTATTTGAATGAAACGGACGGAGGGAAGAAAACCGACATTCTAAAAGAAACATTTTGCGATTTCATTTCCACTATTCCTTTCATGATAAACTAAACACATGGCCAACAAAAGATATGGCCAACATATCTTTTGGATTAGCTAGACTCGGTCTTCCTTATTTTCAATGTGCAGAGAACATCCTTCACCTTCGGTGGACGAGCGCGATCTTTCCGCGAAGAGGGAGAAGAGGGAGAAAGCGAAGGAAACGAAGATGTAACTTTAATATCGTTAGAATGCGGGGGAGCGCAAAAGCGGCGCTCTGCGTCTTGCTGCGTCGCAGCAACGTCATTTATAATACCATCGTTGCGAAGGCAACGGGAAATCGACGTAATTCGATAATAGCGTTTCCCGACGACTGTACCGGACACGCGGACGTATGTGTGCATTGGACGCGAGGGACAAAGGGCGAAGGATGTTTGGCGACGTGAGACGTTGATCGAGAATCGGGAGAGAAAGAGAGAGGGAGAAAGAGCAAGAGGAAAGAGAAGAAAGGAGAGACAGAGAGAGAAAGAGAGAGAGGGGGGGGAGGGAGGGAGAGAGAGAGAGAGAGCGAGAGAGAGAGAGAGAGCGAGAGAGAGAGAGAGAGCGAGAGAGAGAGAGAGAGCGAGAGAGAGAGAGAGAGCGAGAGAGAGAGAGAGAGCGAGAGAGAGAGAGAGAGCGAGAGAGAGAGAGAGAGCGAGAGAGAGAGAGAGAGCGAGAGAGAGAGAGAGAGCGAGAGAGAGAGAGAGAGCGAGAGAGAGAGAGAGAGCGAGAGAGAGAGAGAGAGCGAGAGAGAGAGAGAGAGCGAGAGAGAGAGAGAGAGCGAGAGAGAGAGAGAGAGCGAGAGAGAGAGAGAGAGCGAGAGAGAGAGAGAGAGCGAGAGAGAGAGAGAGAGCGAGAGAGAGAGAGAGAGCGAGAGAGAGAGAGAGAGCGAGAGAGAGAGAGAGAGCGAGAGAGAGAGAGAGAGCGAGAGAGAGAGAGAGAGCGAGAGAGAGAGAGAGAGCGAGAGAGAGAGAGAGAGCGAGAGAGAGAGAGAGAGCGAGAGAGAGAGAGAGAGCGAGAGAGAGAGAGAGAGCGAGAGAGAGAGAGAGAGCGAGAGAGAGAGAGAGAGCGAGAGAGAGAGAGAGAGCGAGAGAGAGAGAGAGAGCGAGAGAGAGAGAGAGAGCGAGAGAGAGAGAGAGAGCGAGAGAGAGAGAGAGAGCGAGAGAGAGAGAGAGAGCGAGAGAGAGAGAGAGAGCGAGAGAGAGAGAGAGAGCGAGAGAGAGAGAGAGAGCGAGAGAGAGAGAGAGAGCGAGAGAGAGAGAGAGAGCGAGAGAGAGAGAGAGAGCGAGAGAGAGAGAGAGAGCGAGAGAGAGAGAGAGAGCGAGAGAGAGAGAGAGAGCGAGAGAGAGAGAGAGAGCGAGAGAGAGAGAGAGAGCGAGAGAGAGAGAGAGAGCGAGAGAGAGAGAGAGAGCGAGAGAGAGAGAGAGAGCGAGAGAGAGAGAGAGAGCGAGAGAGAGAGAGAGAGCGAGAGAGAGAGAGAGAGCGAGAGAGAGAGAGAGAGCGAGAGAGAGAGAGAGAGCGAGAGAGAGAGAGAGAGCGAGAGAGAGAGAGAGAGCGAGAGAGAGAGAGAGAGCGAGAGAGAGAGAGAGAGCGAGAGAGAGAGAGAGAGCGAGAGAGAGAGAGAGAGCGAGAGAGAGAGAGAGAGCGAGAGAGAGAGAGAGAGCGAGAGAGAGAGAGAGAGCGAGAGAGAGAGAGAGAGCGAGAGAGAGAGAGAGAGCGAGAGAGAGAGAGAGAGCGAGAGAGAGAGAGAGAGCGAGAGAGAGAGAGAGAGCGAGAGAGAGAGAGAGAGCGAGAGAGAGAGAGAGAGCGAGAGAGAGAGAGAGAGCGAGAGAGAGAGAGAGAGCGAGAGAGAGAGAGAGAGCGAGAGAGAGAGAGAGAGCGAGAGAGAGAGAGAGAGCGAGAGAGAGAGAGAGAGCG